CTGACCTCCACCTCACACAGACGCACACACACAGACACTCTTCATCCTGGCTATGCGGAACCGTCGGCGCCCCCTCCCCCCCGGCCTCTGGTTCCCCCTTATCCAGCAGCCGTGTAAAAAGGCAAAGAGGAGAGGGCACGTTGCTCAGGTCGTGTGAGCCTCTCAGCAGATGGTCGGGACATGCTGGGAACCAGACCTGAAGTGATGCCTCCTGTTGGTGCCCAAGGTGTGGGGCACACCCAGTTCTGACTGCTCCCTCTTAACTTTAAAATACAATTTTAATCTTCTTGCTTTTTTTTAAAAAAAAAAAAACTGCAACAGGCTTTTAGAATTTATTTGTTTACTTTGTGATTTTTCTGTATCTAACTGCAATTTTTATTGGGATTGTGAGGACACAAACAGATTATGGACATGTCTCCGACTACAGTACATGAAAGGCACCGCTAAAAGGCTTTAATAGGTCTCTACATGGAGGAGAGTTATCCCCTACCTCGGGCAAAGGCTTACTCAGAATAGAAAAGACCATTCAGGCTTAGAAGGAGAGGATGCACTAAAATGTAAAAAGTGAGAAAGACTCACATGATCTGGAAAAAGCTGTGATTTGTGCTTTTTGTATTTATCATACTTGAATGAAGCACGATCTCTTTGCCTGATTCTCACAGGGTCAAATCATTGGCTGCAGGTGGCTGCAACAAAGTCCACCATCAATATGATCAGCTGTGACCCCAGTTTTACCTGCTGACATATAAAGCTGTAGTTTAAGGTCTATAATGAGCCCAGTCAGACTTGCAAGCTACCTTGGCCCTGAGGATCCTCTCTCCATTATTCATGAGTCCTCAGGTTGGACCCTGGGAACAAGCTGAGCGAGGCCCTGTGTCAATACGAAACACTGGCCACCACAATGGGCTCTGCCTCCAACTACACTGTTGACAGACACCAACACAAAGGAGCTGAAAGGGGTCCCCCTCCGTTCTCACACACACTGAAGAATGAGTCAGTGTGCTGCCGCTCAGAGCTGTGTTTGTACAGTATATACAGCCTTTGTCCATGGCCACTGTTCTCCCATCAATGGGGCCTGAAGTGTTGATGAAAACCAGGAGGAAAGGACTTCTCTGTGGCTGCCAGCGAGAGTTCATGTTCATTAGATGGGCTCTGCGCCTGCTGGATGGCACCTGTATGTACGCAGAGAAACCCCGGGTGACAGAACAACAAGTAATCGGCTTATTGGATCGGTAAACAACATTCCATGATATATCGCAGCCCGACCTCCTTGACTATCACTTCATTGATGGCTGTCATTGAAGTTAATGAATAACTAATGCATTTGGACGATGAAATCAAATATTGCAGCCTTGTGACAGTCTCATTAAGATCTTCCTATACAGAGAACACTCCAGTTTCTCTGGTTTTTCATACAATTATGCATTATACATCAAGCACAGTTCAGTCGTCATAAAAAGGTGAATCCGCCTTTCAAAGGGTCGTCACATATGTCATACCAGTGCTCACAGAGAGTTTATTAATATCAATGAAAATGAGCGTTTCTCTTCAAAAGTTAGAAACACTGGGACTAAATTATGACGGCTTGCAGTGACTCATGAAGCAAAGAAAATGTTTCCTCGTGTGATTTCATTGTAGGTTAAAAATGGGCACTCAACACAGGGGACATTTCACTGCACACATATTCACTGTCAGCAGCTCACGATTTGCTTACTTATTATATAACCAAAAGAGCTTTGCTATTTCTTTTTGAACTATTTTTGGTTTATGATTGAATAGAAATGTTTTTACAGGTGCTAAATGTTATTATCTCTAACCCAAGTGCTTCTTTATTCCAGTTGTTTATCTCAGAGACGAATTGCATGCTCCCATAAGGTTCATATGCTGTTGACATCCCTCATATATCTACTGCATCACGCAGTTTGGAAAAGCAATAACAACCTAACTCATTACTGGAGATACGTTTCTTGTCATGGATATTTACACCATTTTGCCATCAAACCTCACTACTTTCTTTTATTTCTATGCTTTCATACTTTAACAACCATTTTATAACTTCCAGGCAGTGACAAATCAGTTTCAAGTGAGTTTATAAAGCACCACTTTACTCCCAAATAATGTCTGAAAGACTCAAATGTGAAACTATTGCATGGTGGGAGGTCAGAGGAGCACGTAACAACTCAATCCATTTTAATCCACTGAGGAAATATATCACAGGGCACTCATCTGATCTGAATCTGATTTGCTCTGAGCATCTCCAGTCATTTGTCTGACTCTTTTTCACTTTAATCTCTTTGAGACATTCATCAGCAGCACCCATGAGCTCTTACATTAACCCAATATTAAATCCAACTGAAATATTTATGAAATATGGATTAATAGATTGTTTCTCTTATTGTTTATTGAACAAAACTATATTACTATTTACACTTTTGCAATGCACAGGCTTTTGCAGAGAGGATTTAGATGGAATAAATAAATACATAACTGGAATGGCACTATTTTCTGGGAAACTGATGAAAACTTCAAAAAAAGCTGTGGTAGTGTTAAAAATTCCTGGATCTTTAATCGGATCAACACCAAAATTTTATAGATTCTTCCCTGACACACGCTCCATCCCTCCACAAATTGGTTCATTATTTTTTGCATAATCCTGCTGACAAACAAACATGTTAAAACATAACCTCCTTGGTGAAGGTCATAAAAACTTAGCTATGATACAGTGGTGGAGTCTGTGCAGGACCTTGAACTAGATCTGGGATAACTCCTCAAACAGCAGAACCAGAAGATAAATTTGACTTTTTTTTTTTTTTTACTTTATATGACCAGTTTTGTTTTTCTCTCAAATACAACTGTAACTCATTTGCCTTTATTTAGTATTTAGGGGTTGCTTGTGTTTTTAAAAGGCTTACCATAAGGTCTACTGTAATGTATTGCTGAAACCAGTGGGAGGCAGTAGCCCACATGGCAGTCTCACATTTGGACACAGATCCACTGATACCTGATTGTTTTCTGACAGTTTGGATAGATCCACACTACCACTCAAAACAATCTTTGAACACCTCATTCTTTTGCAGTTTTTGTTGTGAAGCAATGCAACAAATTGCAAATATTCAAATGAACTAACAAACGTTATGTAAAAAGATATGTAAGGAATACATATAAATAAAACAAGAATTGCTTAAATTTAAATGGAAATCCATTTCATTGTATATTTTTTGTAAAGTATGTTGTGTTTATCTACAACAGTTACTATCAGAGCCTCTGTGAACTATTTTATCTGCTTTTCACAGGCGCCATCTACTGGTTAAAACCCTTATTTAGCCAGAGCAGGAGTGATGTTTGAGGAAGTTCCAGGCAGATTTAGGGTAAAACTTTATGATGCAATTAGGGGCAAGACATTTTAACTACATTTGAATGTTACATTTGAATATTACATTTTATTTGAATTCTAATACTCCTAATGAATTTTGCATACAAAAATCTAAATTTTCTTCCTGTTGATATAAATGAAAAAACAGTTTACTTTATATTTAGATCCCATCAGAGTGGACTAAGGGCTGCATCTAGCCATTATTTTCATTATGGATTAATCTACCAGTTATTGTTTCAATTAATCAATACATTGTTTTGTCCATAAAATTACAGTAAATACTGAAAAATGCCCTTTATAATTCTCAACAGACCAAGGTCATGTCCTCATCAAATCAAATCCTCATATTTGAGAAGCTGAAACTGCAAAATTTTGACATTTTAGTTTGACAATTTACTAAATGATTATCATTTATCAAAATAGTTGTAAGTTAATTTTCTGACGACTGGTTAGTTGACTAATCCTGCAGCTCTTGAGTGGTCAGTATGTGTGATGTTATAAAGAGGTTTTTGATGAGTTCCCTGAACAAGCGTTAATTGTTAATTTTCTTTTTCAATATTTATTTGATTATTATGTGTACCATTATTGTAATTGTTATTAATGACGACTTATTCATGTAGCCTATTTGTGAATGATGTTTATTTTCACAATAATGCACCATATACAGCCAGAAGCATTGATTCTACAAGTCTCTGAACTCTAATGGAGGGAGGAACACCATTCTTCCAAAAGATATTCCCTCATTTGGTGTTTTGATGATGGTGGTGGACAATAGTGTTCAACTGGGTTGAGATCTGGTGACTGGAAAGGTCATAGCATATGATTCACATCAGTTTCATACTCATCAAACTATTCAGTGACCCCTCGCGCCCTATGGATGGGGGCATTGTCATGCTGGAAGAGACCACTCCCATTGGGATAGAAATGTTTCATCATAGCATGAAGGTGATCATGTCACATTAATGCACCAGCATCACCATCATGATGTCTTTCCCAAATACAGATGTCACTGTCACAGTTCCTGTTGAAACACCATCCAGTGGAGCAGTCTTTGTGACTGAAGCTCCTGACATCTGTGCCCCAACAATGAACCCTCTTTCAAAGTTACCCAGATATTTCCCTTTTGCCTTCTTGATACAAAATCAGAATTAACTGGGACAGCTCAGCATGTCATGTTCATGCCACAGAGAGTGATTGGATGTTACAAAAGTACCATCCAGTGAACCTGTATTCATTCAGGTTTTTTCTGAATGAATAAGTCACCCATCTGTATCTGGCTGCTGAGGATATTTCTTAATGTTGGTTTTACAGAAAAAATTTAACATTTCTCTGTATCTTTCCGTCTGCAGCCACACACACACCAAATCCTATCAGGTCCCATTATTGCAGCACTCTATCACCTCCTCAATTCACGCTGAAGTCAGCAGACCCGGGCTAAACTCACATTTCATTCCAATCAAACACACCATCAAAATCTGATTTAAAGACACGCCCCCTAATCCGCTCGTTTCCATGGCAATGTCAGCGCCTGCTCATGATTGGTGGTCCTGGATTAAACACGTCCTCGCTCGGGCTTTAAATATGAAGTTTTCTCCGTGTGTCTGTCTCTTCGCGCTTCACCGTCGGAAGATCGTGTTTCTGTGTTAGCACACTTGAGCTTCATCTTCACCACCATGGTTGAACAGTTTGTTGGAACCTGGACTCTGACTGCCAGCGAGAACTTTGATGAGTACATGAAGGCGATCGGTAAGTGAATTTGACTGGATCTGAGTTGATTTGTCACTGGGATTATGTTGTTGAATGGTAGGAGTTAAAAGGTGTTGGGTAGCGTTTAGCCCGATGTGATCTGTCCTAACGTCACACAGCCAAATCCGTTCAGAAACAACATCCTAATTTATTGTCGTTGTATTGAAGGTGTGGGCTTCGCCACGCGCCAAATGGGCAACATGGTAAAACCCAACCTGGTGATCAGCGTGAGTGATGCTGGGGTTATTTCAATGAAGTCTGAGAGTACTTTCAAGACCACGGAGATAAAGTTCAAAGTGAACGAAGAATTCGACGAGACGACCGCAGACGGCCGAGAGACTAAGGTGGGTAATCGATGGACATTACAAACACTCCAGCTTCATTCTATGGAAGCATTGCATGTTTCCTAACATGATGGCATGCTTTGCAGATAAACCCAATATGATTTAATTTTTTTTTTCTCCCCCAGTCCACCGTCACATTTGAAAATGGCAAACTTGTGCAGAAACAGACCTGGGATGGAAAGACGACGACACTGGAGCGGGAGATTCAAGATGGAAAACTAACAGCTGTGAGTAATTAACTAATCAACTGAGCAACTGATATTAAGTAGTTTGTAGAGTTTAAACATGCATTGCTCCCAGTGTAAAGTGGTCATGTTTGCATTTTTAAGATTATCTTTGGACTATAATGAAATGACTTCTAACACTTGAACTTTGTCTCAACAGAAATGTATCATGGGTGAGATTGTTGCAATGAGGACCTATGAGAAGGTTTAAGTCATTAAACACCAAAGCTGCTGCATGAGCCTGGACCTCTGTTCCATTACAAACATCAAATGCACTGAGATATTGCCAAACATGCCAATAAAGTCTGAACTGTGATACTTCAGTCTGTAATAGTTGTTACTATTTATATATATATATATTTTTTTTTTCCCCCTTTAGCGTACATGTTTGTGCCTTTTTTTAACAGTACTAAGCATCTCCATTGTTAAATGGTCAATATACCATTAAGTCTATGCTAATGAATGCACTTGGTATGTTTGGAATTACTCCACCAACTCTTTAAGGTGGAGCATATTTTGCCAATGCTAAAACTAGTTTCAAAGTCAAACTACTTACCGACGGTAACAAATCAGAAATTGCACCTCTAGAGACCTGTGATCATTATGGTCTTGGTGTAACTCCAATCCCTGTTTGGTGTTTCAGAGGCATGCTAATGGCTAGGTACCAATTTTAAAACTTTTTTTTTTTTTTTTTAAGTCATAATGAAGCATTTGTCTAATTTCTTATTGCAAGAAACCCCTGACCAGTTCAAAATCATACTTCAATCTACAAGCTAAGTGGGCATGGGGAGGGGTGTACAAAGGAACTTTGTTCAAATGAGGAAAAGCAACATGTCCCAGTATCAGAGCAGCCCTCTTAATGACAAAGGAGGTGGGAAGGCCAAATCCCTGCTTGGGGTTATAGTAGTGACCCCTCATTTGTGCCAGGCTTCTTGTCTCTAATGCACAAATGTGGAGTTCAAGCAAGTGCACATAATTTCTTTTAATTAGGGTCCTTTGGGGCAGTAGGTTGAGGCCCAAATCCTTTCTAGGATTTTGTGAATGACTGTGACCCCGGGTGGTACTGACTAATGAAAAGCTGATTTGTTGTCTTGAGTGCCACATGCATGCACACTGTTTTAGGCATTTTTCTTTCTCAACATGCATGTTTTTGAAGCTTTACAGTTTTGTGCAAATTAAATTTTTTCACTTCAGTTTTGCTATTGTGATGTCTTCAAAAATGTACCTACAATAGACATCTGTGCAGAACCTTGAGTTATTCAAAACTCATTTTAGATTCTTGAATACCCTATTGTTAGGGATTAATCTTATTTGGCTTTGGGACGCTGGCCTTTGAAATGGTTTTATCCCTTTAAACACAATCACACCATGATTGTGAGCCGATGAATTCTTAGAAATGGTTCAAGATTGACTTTGGTGAAAAGACCCAGTGGCTATATACACAAAGAAATATTGTCTTAATTATAATCTAATTTACACATTAAAAACAATCTGTTGGTTATAACCGATTAATCATCCCATTGATAAAACAGCCAAATATGTCAAAATAGCAGATTGTCTCAGATCTGATGTTTCAAGGGCCTAAAGTGATGTCTCAAGCTGCTTGAGTCTGACCAGCAGCATCAACGTGAAGCTGCAAACCAGCAAATGTTTGCAGCAATAAATAATTAGAATTCTTTTAAAATCAAGGCTTCAATAAGGTTATAGTTTGTAATCCCGTATGTACTAAATAATGCTGTAATAATCAAGGCAGGAGGTGGTCTCACCCGAACAAATCCAAAAGTAACATTTTGCTTCATTACTTGCTCATTTGAATTATTACATAATATGAACTTGACCCCAAATGTCTTAATCTCACTGCAGCCCTTTATGTACAATCTGTGTTGCGGCCTGTATCTCGCCGAAATGTCCCCCCTGCGGCTGATGGTTGTAATAGCAGGGAAGGATTGGACTGTACCACTGTATCCCGATAAAGCGGGGGTCACATTTTGTCATGAAATGGACAAGAGTTTTGTGACGGTTTGTCTGCCCTCGACAACAAATTATTCAACTATTTATAATTCAGTATACTTATCAACAATAATGTGTATCGACTATAATGTTCACTTTACAGCCACCTTGTCTTTGTCCAGATGAAACGATCCCGAATGACGTCGTACGTGACGCGACGTCATCATCAAACATGGCTGACAAGGAAAATACAAACATGGAAGTCGATAAGGAAAAGAATAAACCTTTTACCAACAACGTTAAGCCACTCGTTGACGAGGCTACCCAGGGAACAGGCAACCAAAACAATGTCGAAAGCAAGAAGGGTGCCGATGAAAGCAGCGCCACGTCGGAGTACTGCGAGAAGCTGCAGGCGTGGATGTGGCAGTACTACACAGGATATGTGAACTGGCAGAGCTGGCTGGCAGCGTCAGCCATGTCCTACCCTCATTATTTACAGTCAGCCAGCGGGACGTCGACGACATCTCTTGATTTAAACTCCCAGCACTGGTACAATAGTCCGTTTGGTCTTCCGCTGTCGCCTTACCCACCTGCCGTCGCCTCTTCAAGTAGCCGGGTAGGTGAGGCTGCAGGTGGGGCTGCAGTGCCTGGTCAACCGCAGCAGCAGCCACAGGAGAATGGAAATGCACAGAGGCCAGGTAAAAGCGACGGACTTCAGGCTGACTGCTCAGTCTCCAGGTTGTCAAAATGTACTTACAACCACCACAACTTCTTGTACAGCGGTTACGCTGCATGGCCAAATGTATATGGACATCCCTGTCTTCATATGTTTGTTTGCCTTTGGTTTGGTTCTGTTTTATGGTTTGGGCTGGACCACTTTATACTTTTAGGAAAACTATTAATGCTACTGTATACAATGATTTTATAAACAATAGCGTGTTATGTCTTTGTGGCAACAGCAAGGTCCTTTCGTGTTTCATGACAATACCGCATTGTACAAAGCGATGTATACAAAGAAATTGTTGCCCCGCTCTGATGTGGAAGAACTCGACCCCAACCCCTTTGCAGGGCAATAGACTATATAACTTTTCCGTTACACTTCTTTTACATTTTACACCACGATGGTCTAAAATTCCGTTTCTGTGCCTTCTGCATACTGCTAGATATATAATATAATTCTGGTGGGGGAATAATAAATACTTATACCCCCCAGGTTCCTGAACTCCACCAAAGGCCTCAGTAGCAAAAGGTAGTTACAGCCCTCCCCCAATGAACACCTTTGGGATGAAGTTGGACGCCTACTGCGTGCCAGATTTTGTCATCCAAATGCTCTTGTGGCTGAACTAGAGCAAATCTGTGCAACCTGGTTTCAAAAATCTTTTTGACAGCCTCTCCAGAAGTGGGGACTGTCACAGTATATCTGCCAATGGTTTTGAAATGACATGGAAATCTGCATACAGGATTAACGTTAGGGTGTCCACATACTTTTGTCCACATTGTGCACTGTACTTGTTTGATTTCAGCTTTGTTTTTTTTTGTTTTGTTTTTTTTTGTTGCTGCTTTTCACCAGGACGTGAGTATAGCATTCCTTCACCTCTTCAAAGACTCCTGGCTGAGATGGTGGATTTCTTCATTTTGTTTTTCATCAAAGCAACTATAATCATCAGTATTATGCACCTCAGTGGAATCAAGTAAGTTTGTAGTAGTGGTGGTAAAATGATGCATGTGTTTTGTCACCCTTTTAAAAAAAAACAAAACCAAATTGTAATTCGAGCCAATGTTTGGATTAGTATCATAGACATATTTTCCTTTTCCTTTCAGGGATGTTTCCAAGTTCGCCATGCATTTCATCGTGGAAGAAATAGATGAGGACACATCGATGGAGGAGCTACAAAAAATGATGCTTGTGGCACTTGTGTACCGAATATTAGTGTGTTTTTATGAGGTGAGTTTGGCTTATTCAAAGCAGTGGTCTCAACCTGAGCTGTCGGCTGTTTCTCTGTTAATTGTTGAAAAGCCCTCAGTAGTGAGGTGACAGACCCTATGCCTGTCTCATTTCAGATCGTATGCATCTGGGGAGCAGGAGGTGCCACTCCAGGGAAGTTTCTCATTGGACTCAGGGTTGTTACATGTGATTCATCAGTTCTGGTCCAACCGAACAGGGTGCTTGTAGTGCCAGCAACTAATGTCTCTCTGTCTGCGTGAGTTGTTCATTTTAAAGGTTAACCTTCAGCAGTTTCATAACAAATGCAACCAGTCACAGCCTTACATCCTGTATTGTAACCACTGTCTCTGTCTCCCTCTACAGATCAACTGTCCGAGCCTTGAACAAGAACTTTTCAATTGCCTTCTTTTTCCCGGCCTTCATCACGCTTCTGTTCTTTCAGCACAACCGGACTGTGTATGACATGGTAGCTGGTACAATTGTTGTCAAGCGCTCCAGGGTCAGATGACGCTGAAGAGCCCACAAGAGGGTCAGACAATAATGCTGAGCAGGCGCTGTGTGATGTTTTCTGAAAAATGCCAGCAGAGCTCCTCAGACACCGCCCTTTCAAGGTATCGTCTGAACATGCAGGAGCATTAAGAAGTTGGCAGAGGGGTTGATACACATCAGAATGAACTATTTGAGTTCCCAACTTGTTTTTGGTTTTTCTCTGACACATACTGTATTTCCGCATGTATTTCTACATGCTGCTTTCGGAATCTGTTCCTGTGCCAAATTTGTCTCCTCTGAAGACTGGATAAATGATGGTATATTCTACCTTTTCATTAACACAAGATTTGCCTCTTTGTAAATACTCTTCCAAACTAAGGGTGAATGTCTTGGATCACTCAGTATTTAAGTTGCTAATTATGCATACATGAGATTATACCTGCAGTATCTCTTTGTATTAAAAACTCATCCTAAGAGTTTTATGCTCAGACTTCTCAGTTTGTTTTAGTTTTGACCTCTGTCACTGCTTTTCAGCTGCTGTGATACTTTGGTTTAAAAGCACATTTAAATGTATTGAAGGGAAATGTAAACCTGAACACAGCTGCTCTTCCTTTACTCTGACTGAAAAGTTAATGTATTATGCATTTTATGTGATTAACTGTATTTTGCATTTTAGAAGACTGAATGAAACCACCACTTATTACCTGCATGCTCGAGATGTCTGTCTTTTAGCTGTTTGTCAGCTATTTGACAATTCTCACAATGTTTTCATACTAATTAAGAGGCCACGTAATGTTTTGTTACTTTACACTGCATTAACTCATTAATGTGCCATTACGTTTGGTATATGTAATGAGTGCATACAGTGGCTTCGGAAAGTATTCAGACCCCTTCACCTTTTCCACTCTTTATTGTGTTTGAAATTAATTGTAAATGGATACAATTGTAATTTTGTCCATCACAAAATCCATAATGACAAAGAGACATGTTTTTAGAATTTTTGGCAATTTATTAAAAATCAAAAAATCTCTCATTTACAAAAGTATTGAGACCATTAATTCAGTACTTAGAAGCCCATGTGGTAGCAATTGAGTCTTGCGCAAGTCTCTATAAGCTTTGTACATATGGATTTGGGCAGTTTATCCCATTTCTCCTTGCAGGTCCCCTTCAGATCTGACAGATTGGATGTGAAGCATCTGTGAACTGCCATCTTCAGTTCTTTCTGCAGATGTTCTGCGGGCTTTAAGTGTTGGCTTCAGCTGTGCCCCTCAAGGACAGTCAGAGACTTGTCCCAATGCAACTCCAGTGTTGTCTTGGCTGTATATGCTCCAGGTCATTGTCATGCTGAAAGGTGAACCATCGCTGGAGCAGGTTTTCTTCAAGGAACTGTCTGTATTTGAAAGCTTTAATCCTTCCCTCAATTCCAACCAGTCTCCCTGTTCCTGCCGCTGAGAAGCACCCGTGCCAGAATGCTGCCACCCCCATGCTTTACTGTAGGAATGGTATTAGCCAGGTGCTGAAAGGGTTCAAGTTTTGTCTCGAGACCAGATAATTTTTTTCCACATGCTATCAGAGTCCTTTAAATGCCGTTTGACAAACTTAAAGTGGGCTGTCATATGCCTTTTACTCAAAGTGGCTTCTGTCTGTAGCCACTCTACAATAAAGGTCCTGGTTGATGAAGTGTTGGTGAGAGGGTTGTACTTCCGACAGGTTCTCCATCTCTGCAGAGGGACGTCAGACACTCTGTTAGGGTGATTGTTCGGTTCTTGTTCACATCCCTGGTAAAGGCCTTCTTTGCCTGGTTGCTCAGTTTGATCGTAACACATGTCTTCCATTTGACAATTATTGAGGCCACAGTGCTCCTGGAAAGACTAAACGCTTTAGAAATGGTTTTATACTCTTACCCTGATCTTTGCCTAGCACAGTTTTATCATGAAGGTCTACAGAGTCCTTGAACCTCATGGCTTGGTTTTTGTCCTGAGATGCAGTGTGTGAGAATTTTTTGCATATTACTTTCCTGGTTTGTTTTACAGCACTAGGTATTATTATGCACATGGAGCCTTTATTGAATTGGGGTCTCAAACATTTACCACTCTGAGATACAGTAATGCCTGCTGGGTAATGAACTCTACCTCCACAGTAAAAACTTAACAATATATTTCTCTCTAATTTATTTGAGAAAAGGTGATTGGTAGGGGATTTTCCAGTTAAACATGTTATAAAAATATATGTTGAATATATCATAATAAATGAACCTCGTAACATAATTGCTGCAATTTCTGCAGTGGGGAGCTGAAATTGTAAAAATGGGAGATTACAGAGCACAGTGACCACATTCTTCTTAGTTACAGGAGTTTGGCTCCACCTAGTGTATATTTGTTGATGATACCAGTCATGCTGTGTTGAAGCAATGAGGAGGGTGGACCCACTGCTATGTTACTCATTGTTAAAATCTGTCTGTGTGCGATCGTCATTTATCATCACAGAAAGTCAATCAACTCATCTTTCCATGACAAGAACCCTGTCTTTACTAAATCCAAGAACAGCCTGAACTCTTGTTTCAACTTGTTTTTAAGACATTTCTCCCGTTCCTCAAGTTTTCTGGCATGTCACATATACTCGGAGAGTCTGTGGAAGCTCCAATTGTTGGCAAGTGTTGACGTGGTGATTGTGTTAGGCCCACTAAGTGGCAGCTTCAGTTGACAGCCACAGATGGTACTCCCAGATTACAGAGCGACCCCCCCACATGGTGCTGCCATGCACCATGCCATTACTGTAGGCAATGGAATAATATAACTCACAGTCAGAGGACCAGAAAAATGTAGGCAGACACTACCCACGAGCATTACTGCACTGTATACTGATGAGTGATTGTTGCTCCATTTGGAGTCTATTTTATAGAATCTATTTCTGTATCGATATACTCTGGCTCATATCCAGAGAGACTGTGCAGGAGGAAGACTTTAGAAAAGCTCAAGGGGACAACCTATTACTATAATTTATGACAGACTTGTGTTTAACTACTTAATGTTGCAGTAAACCCCACAGCCATTTCAGTGAATTAACAAATAGCAACCAGTTATTATTAAAACACTAATAATTTATTTCAATCACAGTCAAGATCATCCTTGTGGCTATAAATAGGAATCCTAATGTGGCAGTAATGGTGACAGCACTAGAACTGATTCATGTTATAGCCAGTGACTATAAAAAAACAAAAAGGTGCATTTTCTTTATGAGCTATCCAACAAATGGCTTACATTGTTCAAATAGATATTAGCAGGCTTAGATAACATTAGTCTACTCTTTAATTAGAATCATATTCGCCCCATTTTCTATGTCTGTTTGATGCCATGCTTGACAAATCTGGTTCCTTGCTGACACATGGCATGCCATACGGTACGGAGATGGTGAAGTGTCCAGCCTGAGTTCCTGCCACCCTTTCTGGCTCTTTTAACAAGGGAGTCATCCACAGGCAGCATGGAGGGCTCACAGCTTTCCCTGACAGCCATGTGTCTGTGTCTGAACAGAGCCACGTACAGGCCACAGGGATGAGGTAAACATTATGGTCTCAACTGGACAAAAGTATTCTCTGTGAATGACAAAATGTGTGTCCTCAAGGTCATTATTTGTTCACGAGAGCTTCCAAAGTGTCAGCTTACACGAGCGTGCTCGTCACACAGACAGCAGCATGGCTCCAGGTGTTTTGAAGGTGTGGAAAGGTGCTGTGGACTGAAATGCTGCTCAGTGTTGTGTTGTTTTTCCCCAGTGTGTCTGTGCCTGTTGGCATTCCTCCCAAGTGGAGAGGAATACCAATGAAAGACGAAAGACTGCTCCAACACTTCAGATGCCATGGTGGATGAGGAGGGGAAGACACATATACATATATATGCATATATTTGCACACATACTTTGAATATTTGTCATTGCTTTGCAGACTTTTCGGACTGGGAATTCCATTATGTATATGGACAGCATTTAATAGTGAGGGACCCTCACTGAAAATTTGAATAAAGCTGGGGACCCTTGCTTTTTAAGAAGTGGATCATTAAGTTCAGGAGACCTCCTCACTCCAGTACTTTTCATCAAGTCCCTAAGTCAATTCAAATGGATGTGTGCATCATATCAGCATTGTGCCATTCGGATTTACTGCCTTTTACAATGGCAATAAATTATGAATGAACTCATTTCTAGGATACTGAATAAATAAGAGTGAGTATGATATGAATAAACTCATTTTCCAGAATAGTACATTGCCTGTGCTGGAGTTCATTTTCCTGTTATAAAAATAGATATGAATACGAGGCGAGTACAAACTCAGGATGAGTGATGTAAAGGCATAAAGAGTGTGTAAGTGTGTGTGTGTGTTTGTGTGTATGTGTGTTTTGAGGGGGAGCATTCACACCATTTTCTATGACATAACATTAGATTTCTGGGTGTTCGTGTTTTTGAATACAATTCTGCTTAAGGCAGCGAGAAGCTTGAGTTGTCAAGACAACCATGGAGGTTGCATTGGTTACTGCAGAGAAATTCATCGTTTCTCTCTCTTGCTTGGATTATGTTGGTTTAGGGCAACACAATGTCTGATGTACAGCTGCTGCACATACAGTTTATGCTTGGTGAGAAGCTGAATACATTTTCCTGACAACAGTTTTTTATTATTTACAACATAATCACTACAATGCATTCAAGACCTTTTCAGAAGACAGAGGGACAAACAAAGAGACAGTAAAGCAGCGAGAGCAGTATCTGTCCCAACACTGTGTCTGATATAGTGAAATAACAGAGACCTTTTCCTCATCAATATTTAAAATACAGTCACCCGGACTGTGCTGTCCCTCAAAGTCAAAACACAGCAACTACATATTTGATTAAAATTCAGTTAGAACCAATTTTCTTTATTTGCATTTGTTATATGTAAAAAAAATATTATGACAGAAATATTTAATTTTTTAGGGCAAAAAATGAAAAAAAAGAAGAAAAAAAAGAAACAGTAGATAAATGAATCCTGCTACATAAATATATATCCATCCCAAAGCCTGTCAGTATATGTTCATTATATTTATAAATATAAAAGATAGACATGTATGAGTAAATTTAATATAGAATTATTGAGAAAATCATATACAAACATGTAGAATTTTAATAAGCATGTTGTTTTAATAAAGTTGCCTTTAACTATGAGTATCTCTATATGTTATAAACTTATATCTTCATATATCCAGAGGATGTATATATGTCATAATAATATATCCTCATATAGATCACACGCATGGTAACATCACTGTTGATATAAGTATGTCATATATATACATGTCAAAGGTCATATTATAGTAAGGCATACAAACGTCATAGTATAGAAAGGCATAAAAATGTCATAATATAATAAGGCATAGAAAGTAATAGTATTGTGAGGCATTAGAGTCGCTAATTAACCTGATGTGCATGTTTCTGGATTGTGGGAGGAAGCACGAGT